GGGGGGGGAGGACAGACCTTAGCATGACCGTGCTTGCCCGTCTTCGAGGTGGACATCTCGACGATCTTGCAGGGCCGGCCCTTCAGCACGACGAAGCCGTTCTTGCGCAGGGCAGAGCACTGCATGGGGAAGGTGGCGGAGGCCCCAGCATCCCCCGTCTGGAAATCCAAATCCGCGTCGGCCATCTCGTCACTGGCGGAGAGACGCACGAGGAGATCTCACCCCTGCCGCACTGTTAGTGAAACCCGCGGGGCCCTGTGACTCTGTGCACTGATTAACACCGATTTGTGCAAATAACTGGACAGTCCAAGCACTGTCATCTGAAATGTTGCTAACAGGGGCACTTTTCACCTGCAGCTCAACTGTAAAATAAAACGTCCTTTGACACCAACCCGCACTGCCCGCATCACGATCTCGCTACTTGTCCGTGCGGTAGAAAAAAGCCGTGGCCTTGATTCATGCATTGGTTCCGGGCGAGGTTAGTGGCTTCTGCGGCCAGAGGGGAGGGGGGTCTAATTTAAGCACAAACGCGGCCCGAGGCTTTTGCAAAAATGGCACCTGTTAGTGTTACAGTGCCCGGCGGACACACGCTGCCTTGCAGTGGACCAGATCTCCGCCGCCGCTAGCGAGCCCACCAACCCAGACATTATAGGGATTGTAAAAATAATAATGAGGTATTATACTGACAGTGAATAATTACAAAAACAGCAACGAGCACGTGGATCGCGAAGCGGCTTAGACTTAAAAGTAAGCAAAGGGGGGTTTACAGCCAAGGACCGGATGGTCTGTAAAGGCCGTGCGTTCATATTTATAACTGGTGACATTACATACACAACCGCACATTCCCACCCAAGTACTGCTGCGCTGTTGTTGTTATTGTTGTTTTTTTTTCATTTTGTTACGAAATTGGGGGTTGACGCCACCGGTCGGGCCAGCTCCGTGTCAGCTTGCAATATGCGCATTCACAAGCGCGCCTCTCCCTGGCACGGAGAACACCGCCCCGGTGTCTCAACTCCACGATCTGCAAAAGCTCAGGCGGGCCGCTCTCCCTGCCAAAACTGGGCCAAAATCACAGCGCCGGCGCCCGGGGCTCGGCGAGCCCATTTCTGGAGAGAAAACCGGGAATGCCGAATGGAAACGGGGGCACGGTCTAGTGGCGGCGGTTTGGCGTCCCAGCCAAGAGCCCAGCCACAAGCTAGGCCCGTGCGCAGTGTCTCGCCTGTCACGGCGCCTCGACTCCTAATGCTGCAGCAGTCGGAGGGACTCCGGAGGCCCCGGTTCAGGGGGGATTCGCCATAGTGAGAGCAGGTTACGACAGAGGCGAACACTGGTGCGCGGAGAAGAGAAAAACCGGGCGCAGGGGATGCGTTTCAACACTGACTGGACCCACAGAACAGAATTCCGTCCTGGCATTAAATCCACGCTGTAGTGACGGAATGCGGGGAGACAGTGCGGGGGGCTAGGTTTTTATTGTAAAACAAAAACAACGGGAAAATGAAAACGAGTGAGCTATTACGACACAAAAACGATATCTTTGCAGACGTGCCCCCTTCTTTCTCTAATCATGCAGTCCCAGCCAGTCGCTGACTGAGACAAAGTTAAGCCCTCACACAGTTTTTTTTTTTTGGGGGGGGGGGATTGCTAACGGCCCCCCGGAATTCATCTGCAGAAAAAAAAAACCTGCAACCCCGTAGTCGTGTTTAAAAAGAGTGGCCGCGTACGTGTTAACTCCAGCAGAAAGAGCCTACGGAGAACCGCCCCGTGCGCGATTACTAAGATGCTCCGTGTAGGTAAATATTAAAAAGGGGGCAGTTGTGCACGATACTGTCTCGGTCGTGCGCTGCTGGGGGAGACGTGAGGTTGCATGGTATATGCGCGCTCCCGTCTGGTACAGTAGTCTTCTACTAAGTTACTCACCCAGTCCGCTTGCCCTGCTCACTGCTCGGCTCGCCTTTTCTCTTACTCTCCCCTTGCTCGCTCAGCGCACGGCTGTCCGTCCGTCTGTCCGTGTCCTCTCTCTCTCTCTCCCTGTAGGTATCCTTGCCGTTTCCCTCCCGTCTGCCGTCTGTCTCGTAGTCTGGGCTGCCCGCTGTGGCGCTGTTTTCCTCTTTTTTTTTATAAAGCCTCTCTCTCTCTCTCCCTTCTCCCTTTTCTCTTTTTTTTTTTTCTTTTCTCGCAGCGGCTTCTCCCAGACGAAACTGTGGCCAGGCAGCCGCCGCTGGTGAAGAGGAAAGTGACACTCAGCCCCTGTGACTCAACCCCGAGCTCCACGCCGCTGCCGACTGCGCAGGCGCGCTCACCTCAAGCCCAGAAAGCGCAGACAAGCGGCGGGGGGGGGGGGCGCGCTTTGCTGATGGGCACAGGTCATGGGTACGCGCACTCCCCCTTCCTCCAGCCGCCACCGCCCCCTCGCCTCTCCTCCCGTTTTCGTTTGTTTTCATGGGAACAGCCTACGCCGGCTCCTCAGTCGGGCTGTTGTACAGCGCCAGTGTTTCGCCGAGTGGCGCACATTACAAACGGAACCAATGGTTCAGCGCCGTTGCATTGTGCATGCAAGCTGCGGATTTCTGGGATGGGAGATGGTGCTGCACGGACGCCAGCTGGGACACGCTCCTCGGGAGCGCGCACAACTAAGCCTCGCTGTCTCCCACTCATTTCTCGTAACGCACCGTTAGTGCAGGGGGCGCAAAAAAATAAAACAACCTTTGGGTAAAGCAGAGTTGTACAGATCAGTCAGGCCACACCGTGGCATTGCTTATTTCAACCAGCATGAACCACAAAGTGACAGAAAACTTAGTTTTCAAGTCCTGTCTTCCAAAGTTAAGGAAATGTCCTCATTTTAAACTTGAGCCTAGAAAGCCACAGAAATATGAAAAAGAAAAAATACAGAACCCACAACGCAGTGCCTGAGATCGAGTATGTAACCTGTTTTGTGCAACAAAAGGCGAGATGTGTCTTTGTAGTGAAAAATAACTGCCAACTCTTTCACATATTAACCACAGCGGTGGATCACACTTTGCAGAAAGCTCTGGATGAGTTTCTGCCATCCAAAAGCTACTGATATTCAAAATGACCAGGTGGGATTGTTTATTATTTGAATATTTAGTATTGCAGTTAATGTCCCCAATTTCCTTTTTAAGTTAAGGACAGGGATCCAGTGAATTTCAAGAAAATAATTTGAAATGTTTCATCATAAGATGTACTAAATGTGTCGTTATTTTAACATTTCTGCATACAATTGTGTTTTCCTTGTTGGACCAGTTTTGTTTAATGTTAAAAAAAGCTTTATTTAACCCAATAGAACACTCTCTGGGGTTTCAGCATCAGATAACAGCAAGGTGGGGGGCACAGAGTCTGTGTTTGAAATTACAAGTCCAGTCTTGGGTTTGAGATCAGTGCTTGCCAGTCCTGTTCCTTCAGGATCCCGGTGCCTTGTTTGTGTGCAGTTTGAGCTGGTAATTACTCAGGCTCAATGATAACTAATTGATTGCTGATTATGATAAGACCTTCGTAATCTGTTTCTTCACGCCCTCTCTCGTTGCAGAATAACTCTGCCGAGGGTGGGGGGTATGGTTACGAAATCACTTCGCAAACTCTATCCATCCTCTCTTAAAACGACCAGTCACAGGTAGGAATAGCACTGTATCTAACAGCCACTAAGAGCAACTCGTTATTCTGAAGAGGCTTGGTTTTGGATGTTCTGTTCACCTGAAAAAGGAGAGAATCTGTTCAATGACATGAACTGCTAAATGACCCAACTCCTTCAGAGCCAAAGAAGAGTCTGAAGAAACTATAGAACAAACAGCCTGACTGGCGCAGAGCTCGGCAGGAATGGAAACCAGAAGAAATGTGGCCACTCCAAATCCTGAGAAGCACTGTATGAGATGAATTCTGTTCCACTGGTGGGCTGATACCCCAGGTTGACTGCATACACTGTATGGGATCACTTCTGTTCACGCACTGGCGGTTAGGATATGGTGCTGGAAAGCTGGATTGTCAGCCCACCTGCAGATAAAATGGTTCAGTCGCCTTCCCCAGGTTTTAAAATAAACCAGGGAGTCAAGCGGACAGATCTTGACCATGTGCAGAGCCAGCCCGGTTAAATTTAGCCCCTGAAATCCGAGCCCAGTGACCTAAGTAGGGAAGGGCAGAGCGTGGCCAGGAGGTGGTGGGTGTGGTGGCTGGTGGGAGATGGGTTTAGTCACGAGGCGAGGGGGTGGGACGTCTCCTGGGGGCCCTGCCCGGGCTCGTTCTGGTCTGGCAGAGCAGGCGCCGGGCCAGCGGGCGGGCGACGCCGGTTTCCATCGGCCTTCCGAGAGGCACGAGGGCACGTGGCCTTCCTTTCGCTCTTCTGAGTACTGCAGGAAAAAAAAAAACCCCACTGAAACGAAAGAAACCAAAACACATCCCAATATGCCTTAATGGCTAAATATTTCATAATCTGGTAAGACATCATTGCACCAGGCTTCAGCTTTAAATTGTTTTACAAATAAAAGGCAGAAAGAGGTGCGCCTGACTGTGTGGTTTAATCATCCGCTGCTTCCCAGTGGAGAAAATGAGCTTTTGTCTCTTGTAGTCCGATCTCGAGCAATACACCAGAATCACCGCCACCTGTTCTGAGAGCCAGACGTTAGAGTGGAGGTGACACCAATCCCAAATCCCCTTTGACCTTTAATTCTTGGAAGCTATAAAACTTTAAAAACATCCTGAATAGGAAAACTGAAATCAATGAACCTGTCCTTAAGAAATCAGCTGGAGCGAAACAACAGAAGACACAGTCCTCCACAGTTTTCAGGTTTGGGAACTTCTAGTTAATGCTGGAGAGGCACAGTGATGCAGGCACAGCATTGCTGCCTCACAGGGCTGGCTGGGGCCCTGGATTCGTTCTGGACCTGGTGTGCTAGCATTGCTTGCCAGTGTAAGCTCCTGCTCACCTGCGACCCTGTTATGGACAAAGCAGTTAAAAAAATGGATGGGTAATATTGTTCACAATTGCAGGGTTTATTCGCCTGTGACCAGCAGGGGGTGCCAACAGGTTGTCCTGTAACAATTTTCTTAGGGTACTGCTAATGGAAGCCCTGCTCAGGCTGACAGCTCCGCAGGGTCTCAATCATGCAGTCGTATCCCTGGATCCTTTTTCCCCCCAGTCTGACCTGCTCCCACATTCATCCAGCATGACCCTGACGACTAGCTGAGAGTCTCACATCAACCCCAGCTCCTTGAGAATCCCGATTCCCCATTCTCCCAAGAACCAATTCTCCCATCCTAGACGTGTCTTTAACTCACCAACACCTTAACACTTTTAACGGAGCCCAACTGGATCAGGGCATTTCTTTCTGTGCAGGTCTTAGTCTGTCTGATGATTTAAAGAGCCCAGGGATACCTGCTGCTTTAGACACATCTTTCGGGCATCTCCTGGGGACCATACCTGTAGCCTGTTTCACCTGGCTTTGCATGGACATGGGGGGATATGATTTTTTCAGTCCATTTAGAGCAAGGTTTCCTAGATCCTTCTGTTTTGTATCTTCCTGAGAGCACCAGCCAAGCCACTTTTTTAACTTGTTGCAAAATCATGCATTTCAGGGTTTTTTAGTCCAGTCTCTTTCAGCGAGTTCTGTAATGAGGCGAACCCAGTACAATCCCATCGCTTTGTAAACTCAGAGATGCATGAGTGGGTTGAAACCAAGTGAAGTGGACTTTCTCTCAGCTTTGGGGGCAGGGGAAGGGGGGGGAAAGGGGACCTTAGAAAAACCAGGGTCTGAGAAATTCGTGGAAATCAAAGGAATAATTCTAAGCGGAATTAACGCGGTGACTTCAGTCTTCCACCGAGGAGATCGCTGGGGGGTGGTTGATTCGGGAGTTCTCAAGCGAAAATGTCGCATTTTTTAAAATATTCGCTGTTTCCTTTAAAAAAAAAAAGAAACCCCTATAAAATGTGTCCGACTGCGTGACCCTCACAGACCTCAAGAGGAGAGCAGCCTGGAAGGTGAAACATTCGGTCGCCGAAACGGCTGTTAAGCAAATACAAGCAAAGTCATCTACAATGTAGCTAGAAAGGATTTAGAGGACCTTTAAGCAGAAAAGGGTTGTGCAACCACTGTCGGACAGATCGACTTGTTTTAGTTCCTAATAAGAAATACCTAAGGTGTGGGCTTTGGGGGTTATGCGAGAGACCCAAGCACAGGAGGATCAAGTCAGTTTTAGCCGTTAATTTACAAGGCGTTCAGCGCATAACTCTCAACACGGGACAGGCTTCAAATATCATCTGACCATTTTCATGGTAGGATAGGATATTGTAGTTCGGGTGGGGAGCTGCGTCAGCATGCGTACTCTGCAAGGGAACGAGCAATAGGTTTATTCCAGGCTGAAAAGAGAAGAGAGAAAAGGCCGAAGAAGGCTTCGCAGCCGAAACGTTGTGTTTCCTTTCCTTTTCTTCTCTTTCCACCATGGAATAAACCTATCATATAATAGGATATTGTTAGGATAACGTGCCCCGTGCCACGTTTAGATTTAAATTGAGAAAGCCAGACGCCTTCCTCTATCGGAGCTGACTTGTGAGCGGGATGCTTGTGATCGCCTGGGAATGGAAGGTGTGGCGCGCCGTGTGCCCACGCGTCCCGCCCTTCGCGGGAGACAGAATTATTCAATAAGCGAACAGCGGACAGGAGCGGGGTGTTTCAAACTCCTCCCAGGTTTCCCGCGGCTTCTCCGCCGCTAATAGGGAACCGCTTGGTGCGCCGCAGCCTGCCAATGGGAAGAGCCCAGGTTCAGCAGCGGCTGCCAATGGAAGTGCGCGGATCTTCCAGCGCTTCTGGAGAGTTATGGATAAAAACTTTGCGCCGAGTGGCGAGGAAGGTTTCGAGTGAAGGAAGTTGGTAGCTTGTGAGAGTTGTTTTAGCATTACCATTCAGGGCGCTGGAATAAAACCCCAAAGCCGGTTTCTCCGGTGAAAAGCGGTGCGGATTGGAAATCGGAGCTCTCCCTACCCCCCACCCCCTTCTCCCCACACCCCTCTTCGTTTCATGTTCGACTCCGCTGTCGCTGTCGCCGCCGCCGCCAGCAACGAGCTGTAGCCATGAGCGAAACGGAGACTCCGGGAACCCCAGCTGCTCCGGCGACCGCCGACGACCGACCGCCGCAGCCCGAGAAAAAAGTCATTGGTAACCAGGCTCGAGCCGGCCCGGACGCGTGTTGGACGGCGAAACCCGGCGCGTTTGTTGGCGTGAAGCTCCGTGGGGTTCAGTGAGGGGATTCTGAGTCCCGTTGGTGGACGTTTGACTAGCGAGGTTACAGGGAGGCTTTTGACGCGACGACTCGCACCTCCAAACATTTAGAAGCGCCAAAGGCCCCGCTTTAACGCTGAGGAGTTCTCGGGCACTAAAGAAACTGCAGGAATTTCCTGATTTTTTTTCTAAATTAAATGCCGAGTAGCCACTTTGCGATGTTGGTGTTACTTTGTGAATCATGCGCGGCTTGTCAGCGGTCCAGTGTGTTATTCCGAATGATCTTGCACTGGGCTTGCCTCCTCGGTGTACTTGTTTTTTTTTTTATGGCCGTTGAAGTTTTTTTTACTCTCCTTCGTATCCCTATCGCGTCCCCGTGCATTTTTTTCTTTGTTTGAGAGACTTTTCTAGTTAATTGTTAGATTACAATAAATCGTATTAATAGTTAAAACCTGCCGGTTAAGGTTTCTAACCACTTTAACAGTGAGTGACCTCTTTCGGACGCAGGACGCGGGTTTTTAATTAAAAAACAGGAGTTTCGGATTGAAGGTAGAGCAGGGAAAGCGGAGCTCATTAAACGAAGCCATGTGTGATTTAATCTTGTGGAGAACATGGATGTTTCACTTTGGGAACGGATAGCTTTAAAGCCGGGCGTGCGGTCGATTTTGCTACACTTGCTTTTCTGAACATTCAGGTCTTTTTTTTTCCCCCACAAGAAGGGTCTCGTTCACATTTCTTTAAATAGTTCTACGTTAATTTTATAAAGAAACCAGTGCCGGTAAATGTTGACATGTCATTTAAACGTTGAATCCCTGTGCCCCCCCCCTCAGGGCCTGCCGTGTTTAGTCGGTAGATATCAAAGGTCGCTGTTAATGGCTGACGGCGGCGGGCGCAGCCCTGTTCAAACACTCCTCGCCTGGGGTTGTGCCGATAATACCGCTACTCCTATCAACAGAAAGGGCTCAGCTCTCTGGGTCAGCCACAGCGAAAGTCCCTTAGAAAAGAGTGGGGGGGGGAGACGACCTTGACGGAGACCGTCTTCGAAGGCGGTAACACCTTGACACCCGAGGTCCGCGTCCCGTTTAAAAAAAAAACCGCAAAGGCCGCTGCTGGAGAGGTCAGAGGTCATGGGTAACATAATGCAGCACTGCTCCTCTGTTGGCAGAAGGCCCACAGGCTTGCTCCAACGGATCTGGGGACTGTGGGACGTTCTGGAGGTGTTTCTTGTTAGAAACCGGGAGCGAGGGTGTATTTAACCCGTTTTCAGATCGAAAAAATAATGGTGAATGGAAGTATGAAATCCATAGGGAAGTCTCCTTGATCTTTTCTAACCCCCCCCCCCCCAATTAGCACCATTCCTGACCTGAGTGGTGAATGATTGCTGGACAGTGCAGGTGCGTGCGCGTGTGCGTGCGTGTGCGGGGGGGTGTGCGGGGGGGTGTGGGTGTGTGCGTGTGCGGGGAGTGTTGTTAACCGCTGTTTCGTCCAGCTCATTGATCATTGATTGGAGCGCTGGGGTTTTGTCTTGCAGCGACGCAGGTGCAGGGCACAGTGAAGTGGTTCAACGTGCGCAATGGCTACGGATTTATTAACAGGTAACCATTCCCATCCCCCCCTCGGGCTCCGGTTCCCAGGTTCACCACAGCGGCGGTAAGCCCGCGCTGCTGGGTCTCGCTAGGATTCGGGGTCCCTTTTAAATACGGGACTTCATCTTTCCCCTTTTCCCGGGACGGCGTGTGCAGCTCAAGTCTCGGCAGCTGCTAAAACCTGGCATGGACCGAGCTGCTGTGCATTTGGAGCCTAAAGTGCCATGTAGGTGTGGACTCCCTGGCCTGGCTGCGCTCGGGAATGATGGGGAGGGTTCAGTCTGTCCCCGTGTAGTGAGCTTGACCGGGGTTGTCTGTTGACTTGAAGCAGCGTGGGAATGTTATACTGCAGTCTTGTGGGTATCACCCTGTCCTTTTTGCTCCCGTTTTTTCCAGTCGATGGCTCCTTCCTCAAGGTTGAAGGACAAGGTTTTGAGTGGAGGCCATTTTGCCCCACCTTGTGTGTGAAATTGCTAGGTTCTTCTCCATGTGTGTGCTCTTGAGCCCTATGGTAGTTTTGTCCCAGAGGCCGTCCCCTGCTCCTCTTGATGTAAAGAATGCATCTTTTAGCTTTCACCTGAGATTCCCAGCAAAACACTAGTGAGTCGGGATCACCCTGACAGAAGTGTTGGTTAATGGGCTGAATGCATTCCTGGGGTTTCTGGTTGAGAGCTGGGAATGCACTACTGGTGATGTGCATCTGATGCCCTCCAGTATGAGTAACCTTCTCTCTCTCTCTCTGCTGCAGGAATGACACCAAGGAGGACGTGTTTGTCCATCAGGTGAGGTTTTCTGAGACGGGAAGCCCTGTTCACCCTGACAAGTTTGACATTTTGCCTATTGCAACAGCAAACAATTACCTCTGACTGTGTTTGTGGTATTATTGTGGCTTTTGGTATCTTGCCTACTCAGTTTTTATTTGCATTTAACATTAAGTGACGGGTTTACAGCACATTTATTTTTCAAAATAAAAGAGCGGCATAGTCTGTGAAATGTGCAGTAACATGAATTCTAGTATAATTGACACCTGCATAGCTGCATTACTGTTATTGGTTACATTTTGGGGTATAATTAAACAATCCAAAGCTTGATTGGCACAAAGAAGGGAGAGAGCTGTGCAGCGTCCCAGTACAGAAACTAAGAACATGGATGAGGAGGTCAGGCCTGCAATGTAAGTCCCGAGTGGTCACCAGGTCTTACAGAAAAGATCAGATCTCAATGGAGATCATGTCATTGTTTCCGAGGTAAAATACAGCTACATGAAAACCATATTTTAATTGTCCAAACCTTGGGAGACCACTCAAGATTTAAGTAGACATAAGATGGAAGAGGTTCCATGGATCAACCCGTAAAAGCATTCTCATGTGCTTGTTCACCTTGCAAGTTGTTACTAGGACCTCCATTTATCTTCTAAATTGGGTGAGTATGTGATAGTTTTTCCTGTTGTCAAGATCCTGGTCCTGCAATTGTTACAATTTGGCAAGTAAGTATACTACAGTACTTTCCCCATCCTGATTCCGGTCAGCCCAGTGTCTGACAGCTTTCAGTGTAGCTAGCCTTTCTGTATCCTGATTGAAGAATGAAGACATTTTTGATTCTGATCTCCGAAAGATGTTTTCTCATTAGGAGTGAGTTCTAGTGTAATAATGACACTTCCAGAATTGACAACTGCATAGCTTTGTTACCAGGTTATCAGTTACGTTTTGGGGTATAATTAAACAATCGAGGGCTTGTCTGGCACAAACAAGTGGCCACTGGACATTGAGAACAAGGAATGGCAAGACCTTCTCTGAACTGTGATCCTAATTCCTGCGAGCCTGGTCAGATGTCAGAGGATCTTGACTTCAAACAATGTTTCTTCCCCTCTAGACGGCGATCAAGAAGAACAACCCTCGTAAGTATCTGCGCAGCGTGGGCGACGGGGAGACGGTGGAGTTTGACGTAGTGCAGGGGGAGAAGGTAGGATACTGGGGGGTTCTGTGTTGAAATGGGGTGTCCTGTGAGTCTGTGTTGTGTGTGTGTGAGCACTCCAGTGTGGAGTGACCATCAGCTCTGTTTCATAATGGGCTTCCTTTGGGTAATGACTCTTGCAGTTCTAATTGTCTGGCTCTATTGAAAGCCAAAAGGAGACATCACATGCTGCTCTGTCCTTAAAATCCTTTCCGGCTTCTTTGTATAATAGCAAAAACCTTATAGGTATGATGTTGGAAGCACTACTCTAGTGGACTGTTTCTAGATGAATTGTGAACTTGCATTTTAAATTCAAATCAGATTTTGCAGTTTGTTCAGGAATAAGAGCAGGCAGATGAAGTAGCTTTATAAGATCCAAATAGAAAAGAGCACAAGAGATGAAAGACGTAAGGAGCCGTTGTTGTTCCTTGTTAAACAGGTTGCTAGTATCTTGGTGATCTGCATATCTCAAGCCATTTCTAGAAGGGTGTTATAGAGCCAGTTTCTACACTGTGGCTAGATGGTTTGTTCCAGACACCCACCACTCTTTGTGCAAAGAAGCAGCCATCGTGGTTTCCTCCAGAGTAATGGCAAGTAAAATTCTCGCCGTCTTCCTCTCCCTCTCCCCCAGGGTGCCGAAGCGGCCAATGTGACCGGGCCGGGGGGCATCGCAGTGAAGGGCAGCCGCTACGCCCCCAACCGTCGCCAGTTTCGGCGCCGCTTTTTCCCACGGGCCCCGCGGGCAGCTGCGGCCAATCAGGTGGAAGGGGCCGGCCCCGCCCCAGCAGCTGGCCCCGCCTCCGAGGGGGAGGGGACGGGCGATGACGCCGCCCAGCAGCCGCCGGGCCCCCCCCGCCGGAGGAGGCCTTTCTTTCGTCAGAGGTTCCCTCGGCGCCGGCCAGATGCCCAGCAGGGGGTGAGCCAGTATTCCCGTCGACTCCCAATCCGGGTCCTTCAGGGCTGTGCTGATTTTACCCAATGCCCCAAGCTGGCTTTTAGCAGGCAGCAAGCGTTTGAGGTGTTTGCTGCCTGCTGCAGCGTGGATGTCAAGCACGTTCGTTCTAAATACCCCGTCTGCGGGTTTCGGACAGAAACGCGACGGTGGTCATTCTCGGCAGGTGGCTGGAGATGAACACGCTGGGGAGTCTGTATTAACCGGGTTGGGGGTTGGGGACAAGCAATTGCCACAGTCCGCTCACCTGGCTGGAAGGCAGAGGTCTGCACCCTGCTCGCGCGGAGCTGCGGTGATGCCTTGTTTCTGCCCTGCCACTAGGTGGCGGCGGCGGAGGAAGGGGAGGTGCCAGAGGGAGACACGGCGGCACAGCAGAGGATTCCACGGCGCAGGTTCAGGCCCCCCTTCCGGAGGTACGTGCCCGGCTGCCCGCTGCAGGCGGTAAGCGGGATTGGTCCATGAACTTGAAGCGGTGCGGGAGCATTATACTGCAGCCTTGTGGGTATCGCAGTGTCCTTTCGGCTCCCGGTTACAGTCGACTGCTTGTTCCTCAAGGTTGAAGGGCATAAGGTGTTCTGGGAGAAGGCCATTTTGCCCCCGCCTTGTGTGTGAAAATGCAAGGTATTTCTCCAAGTGTGCTCTTCAGCCCTGTGGTAGTTTTGTTCCAGAGGCCTCCCCCTGCTCCTCTTGACGTAAAGAATGCATCTTTTAACTTTCACCTGAGATTCCCAGCGAAACATGACGGAGTGGGATCACTCACTCACTCACTGAGTTGCCTGCAGGTCCCCCAGGACAAGGGCCAGGTGTGTCTTCTACAGCACTGACGCACAGCTCAGATCGTCCAGGACCGGAATCCAGCAGGGTTTTAATAGGTCTCGAAATCAACAGCCCGAGACGCTGGAGACGTGTTCCAGCTGTTTGTTGGAAGAGTCCAATTGGTATTGGATTTTGACTCCACATTGCCAGTCCTTCGGAGCCAGAGGCTCTTCCTCTGTAATTGGCCTCCTTCTGGGATGAAGGGAATCAGGATTGGACACAGGGTGAAGACAGTGATCTGGGTGCGGCCTTCCCTGTCCTGGTGGTCCGATGAAAGCCGGGGGGGCTTAAAGGGATCCTGCAGCTCCTCTGTTCTCCTGCAGGCCGTTCCGCCCCCGCCAGCCCGCTGGAGGGCAGACGCCAGGGACAGAGGGGCAGCCGGAGGGCCAGGCGCCCGGCCAGCAGCCGGAGGGCCAGACGGGGGAGCAGACTGACGCGGCCCAGCCTGCCCAGGCCCAGAGACCGCGCCGGCAGTTCAGCCGCCGGAGGCAGAGGGCTGCCGACCAGACGGCGCCAAAGGTGATTCCTCCTTTCTCTGGCTCTTCCGTGACGTGTGTGCGCTCCTGAGCCTGGGTGATGCCACCCGGGTGGTTGTTTCGAGGGAACAGCAGGAGACCCTTAAAATGGGTACAGTAAGATCTGGCTGTGGTTGGTGGCATCATTGTTGAGGATTGAGTGCAGGCAGCCCCTTCCATTGGTCAGTATAGATGCACAGGTGACATGGGGGGGGCCTGTCCTGGGGTTGAGGAATACTGCCCTCGCGTGAGCCTGCTGTCAATATCCTTCTTCCAAGAGCAGTCGGTATCTTAACCCTATTGGCATTCCATCCTAGCAGGAGGTGGCGGAGAAACCCGCTGCTGAGCCTGGCTCCCCAGTCCAGACAGCCAAGGAGGTGGACGGCCAATCATCCCCCAAAGACACCCCCTCATCGCCCAAATCTCCGCCTCCGCTGCCACCAGAGTCTCAGGATGACGAGCCTGCTGTGGAGGTAAGAGGCTCTGGTGGGGTGACCAACAGTTGAACTCTGAATTTATATTGTTCCAGGTCTTTTTGGGAATTGATCATTTTGTGACGACCTGTTAAAATAGGCCTCTCCAGTTTGGGGAAACCTCCGATCTAGAACAAATTCAGTTCCTTTAAAGGCCAGGAGATGCTGGTGTTAAATGATGAAGGACTAGCTTGCTTTTGAAATGTGGCCACACTGTATTATGCCACCTGGTGGTCAGTGGTCTGCTCTCCCCTGTCCTCCCTAGACGCCCGCCCCTGAAGCGGACTCTACAGCCGTACCTGCGCCGGAGTGACGCCTCTGTAGACCCCAGGACGGTGTGCCCCTGGACAGTGGTGAGAGCATGGGGGGGCTTTTGGATGCTTGAGTGTGTGGGGAGGGAAGAGCAGCCCCCCAGCAGCATTTAATCAGTGATTCTCGGCACCTCCCAGCTCCTGAGACGAGCACTGGCGAACCGAGTTTCGCCAAGTTGCCCTCTGATTGCAGGACGATTCAAGTAGAGGTTCCTAGGTAATGATTTCACCTGAACTGGCTTGAAAGAGGCCTGCTACACTGGTTTATGACCCTTTCACCTTAAAGGGGACCTGCAACCCTATTTTTATACTTTGGGGTTAGAAAGAATTGGCATTGAGTCCATGTCAAAGCACAGTAAAAGTAAAATGGACTCTAACTTGTGTTACTGAGCCTCCAGTTTTCATCACTAAATAGATTATATTTCCAGGTATGCGCAGCACCATGTTCTACGATTTAGAACAAGGTAACACAACGTCCAGTGATGTGTTGTGACCTTATTGCAGTGTAAACAAGAAAGCTTGTGAATAGATCTCGTTTGATCCAATAGAAATAATGCTTTTGATTGAAATGTTCTTGCTGACAATACACTCATACCCCAGTATCCGAACCCAATTCAATCCTGAAAATCTGTTTGAAACGTGGGAAATCGTAAATTGAAAATAAATTATTTTTCTTATGGATAAAATTCCACCCTATTCCAAACCGGAGGCAAGTTCACTCAAAGACCACCCTAACCATACAGTATAATACCTTACAGACTATTATAGCAAGCTTAGTGAACAATGCTGTTCTACTTGAATAGGCCAGCAGTAGCTGTGAAATAATGAATATCATATTCACGTTTTTCATTCTTTCATAACGGATCGCTTTCCAAGCAATCGGCTAGAACCATGTACATACTGTTATGTACTGTTACTGTAATGAACGGCAACTGCAAAACAAGCACAAAAACACTTTGAAAAGGGGAACACAAGCTTTCGCTGTGATTGTAAATGAGGGACTGCCGTCTCAGCATCCTTAACCGCAATGCGTTGCACCAGCACAGAAACAAGCAGGAGTTCGGTGGCGCCGAGTTCAGATGGTTCTTGGCCAAAATCGGTCACTTTCGAACTTTCGAAAGTTCGGATTAGCGAAGTTTCGTTCTTATAACGAATTACAAGGTACAAATTCTTCATGTTCAGATGAGTGAAAATTTCACATACCGGACATTCTTATTGTGTGAGTTTATTTAACTCTGCCTGGAGATCATGTTGGAACATTTCTGCGGTGAAATGTCTGCTGTACAGCCTGTACCCTTACTCGCTTCTTCATCACATTACATTAGGCATTACAGGGACTAGTGAGCAGGAAGGGCCGCGTCATGTCCCAGTTCATGGGAGCTCTGGCCCGTGGCGAGACCAGAGGTTTGTCACAACATGGCAACTTACGGTACATTGTGTGCTTAATTTGGAACTTGGAAACTTTTTCCCATATTGCTAATGAATTTGTCTCCAAGATTTAAGAACCAGTCTAAGAAATTGGGACTGCAGTTCCCCTTTAATTATAAGTTGACTTTTTTTTTTTGCACCCATGTCCCCATGAAGAAGTCAAACCCCTGTCTAGCCTGTTCTCATGAAGCCGACTGGGCATAGACGGCACACCCCTCACTATCTCTCTCACTCTCTCTCTCTCTCTCTGCAGGTCCAGGGTGGGGTGTCCTGCTCATGGAGGCCCTCTCACACCTGCTGGGAGCACTACTGCACCCTCCCCTCCTCCCTCGTCCGACAGCACGCCAGCTTGGGGAAAACGGGGGGATAATAGAGGGGGGAGGAATTGTACTTGCAGCACAATGAAAACTGCACTGACGCCCAAGTCTTTAAACATTCCCATGGCTTATCGGGAAAGGCCCGGTGAAGGATGGAACCAGCCATGATTTTTTGGCAGTTTTAATTTGTGGAATAAGTGTGGGGTGGGGGGGATAAAGGAAAGAGAATGGGGGCAGAAAGGGGTGTAAGGTCAGGTTTCCAAGGTTGGGGAAACCAAGCTACGCTCCCTCCCTGCATTCTCTCCCAGCAATCGTAGCTTGTGCTGGTTTACAATGCGCTTTTGTTTCGTTTGATTTCGTTGGCAAAATGAAACTTATTTTGGAATGTTCCAATGCACTTTTTTGTGGGCATCATGTGCAATTAAAGTTCAGTAAACCAAAGACTGCAAAGCAACCCATCTGCCTCCCTGTTTGTGTGAACCCGCCTGACCCAAGGCCAGCTTGGTTTTCCCTGAGCTGAAGATGTTGGGCTGTTGGCACTCGGCAGTTATCTCCCAGGATTTCCACCTTCACAGAGCTTCCAGTTCATCCTTTAAAAAATGATGCATTCAGCTGGGAAGGTTGAGTGCCTTTCCATCCTGACCGGGATGGACCCCTACTCTTGTGGTTTTGGCCCCCTTAACACAGGGATGGACAGTCCTGCTCCTGGCAGACTGGGATGTCTTACAGAGCTTCAATCTAGCTTGGCTCTTGCCCTAAATCCTCCTCAATCCGTTTGCTTTAGGGTTAATTCCTCCCAGCCTTTTAGGTGCTGGTGCTTCAAAGACGTTTGCAAGACCTGCAAACACACTGGCTTTCCAGCGCTAGCATTCTCCACCTCTGTAGCTCAAAACATGTTGGAGAAACAAAACTATTTGTAACTCAAGTTGTAGAACTAGCCACTGAGGGAGGGACCATGTTTGCTTTAAGCAAACTGGCCTTCAGCAAGACATGGGTGGGAGATGTAAGGACGACAGTTGAGGAACTCTTGGCCTAGAGGATGTTTATTATCCCGGACTTGGGGAAACTCATTAGTAGTGGAGCAGTGAGGTAGAACATGCTCCAGTCGTTCCTTTTCGGGGTGGGGAGAGTGTCCAAGACTGACCAGGATTGAATGTGGCAATAAAACTGGGAAGGGAAGACCCTGGGGAGATGGCAGCCCACCAGGAGCAGGAGTGATGATCAATTCCTGTAACCGCTGTGCCTTATTGAAATGGAGAACATGATACCAGTTATTTTCCTTCTTTTATACAAATCAAATGAATTGCAATACAGTTTCGCATTTTACAAATTCTACAAAACACAGTAGAACCATTTGCATACATAGATGGCTCTGGATGAGGCAAAAGTCATGCATAATTCACATAAGCCTCCTTTGATAAATAATGCTATGTACATTCATGGAATTTTCCTGCTTTCTTTTTTTCTGTGGTGGGATCAGTGGAAGGTTGTCCATTTAATGAGCTGCGTTCTGAGAGCTGTCCCCCCATCCCTGTGTTTCTAAAGGGATGGAGCTGACTAAAGGTTAACTGGTGGAAGAAGGCTAGAGGTTCTTGATAGGTTATTGGGGGGACTTTGGGAGAGGAAGACTTGGTTTCTAGAGTGAGTGCTGGTTCTGTGTAATTCTGCACTCTGGAACCTGGATGGCCGGTGTTCTGAGTCTGTGGGCCAAGTGTCTTCCTTTTTTCACCATGGATGTACCAAATCATCTCCCCCTCTTGTGTATTCTTCAACCAAGGAAAGGATAAAGTGAAATGTTTTCATGATTCTCTTATAACTATTTACATTTAACATCTGAGCTAAATGAAGGAAAAAGCCCCCCGTTAGACAAGGTGTCTGCCTGGAAATGCAATATATGGGAGTCTTTCTTCAGTCCCTATTCTATACAACAGTCTCAAGGCCTTCCAACCGCCAAAGCCTTCAAGCTAAACTTCCCTGTCTTAGCTTCTTGAGGCCAGCAGGTGGTGCAGGTCTCCTTAAATCATCAATGGACCTGTGCAGGAAGGTGAAATTGGTCCAATTAAACCTAAACTGCACTAATGCGATGCCATTTCCAAGGCCTTGTGGTCTTCCAAAGGAGACCTGCAGGCCTACCGGATAGTTGCCCTAAAGGAGTAGGCCTGGTGTAACCAGTTCCTTAACTGTGACTGCATTTATAAAACCGTAAACCAACCAGGCGTGTCAGATTACCAACACTGTCTTCTTTTTGCTACGGTCCCTCTCCCGTGCACTTGCCTGCTCAGGGTAACTGCAGTAGCCCTGGGTTGTGGTTCAACCAGGCCTGTTTAGAACAAGGTTACAAGGCCAGTTGGCCCATTCTGCTCTGGTGGGCGTCAGTGATTTATTGATCCCATGATTGTTACATGATAATCTCATCCAGCCATTGCTTGAGAAACCCAGATTAGATTCAGATTAAAGCATAGCTAGGTTACTCACTCCAGATGCCTTCAGCTGTGTAAAGTGCCTTGTGTTCTCAGTCTTTGATGCACGTCCTCTTAATCATGTTTTTGCCCTGACTCCTCCCTCCCCCCTCCCCCAGCCCCCAACACGCAACCCTAGGACAGGCTGCCCTCCCCCAGGTCCTCCAGCTCGGTGCTGCGCTTCTCCTCCATGTCCAGCAGCGAGCCGGGGCAGCGCCGGAAGCCCGCGGAGATCTGGTCGAAGGTCTTGCCGCGCGTCTCCGGTACGCGGAAGAAGGTGAAGAGCAGGAAGAAGAGTAGCAGGGCGGCGAAGATGAGGAAGACGTAGGGCCCACAGTAATGCTGCAGGGAGACAGGAGAGCTTGCTAACTGGGGTTGCTGCTGCTGCAGCCTCACCAGGCTGGCCAATTCACACCCGACTGGGAGTACCCATCAGACTGAGCAGCTCACAGAAGATTGCACAATGCTTCAGACGGCAGTTCATGCAATGCCTTTACCTAGACACTTGACTGGCATTATGCACCGAACTGGTCATTTACATCAGACCGGCACTATGCACCAGACTGGCACTAGCATCCGACTGGGCACTATTTATCACACTGGGCAAAGAGAATTCACACCCAGCTGGCACTAGGCATCAGATTGGGTGATTCACACCAGACTGGTCACTAGACATCAGGATGGCCAGTGCACACCAGACTGGGCAGTATACTTCGTGTCCCCTGCGTGCAGGAGCAGACGGTGTGCAGTGACCTCCCAGTAAGGCGAAGGAGGGGAAAACTCACAGCAATGTACTGGAAGCTCATGCCAATGATGAAGTTGGCGGTCCAGTTGGAGCAGCCGGCCACGGCCATGGCGGCAGGGCGGGGTCCCTGGCTGAAGAGCTCGGCCACGAAGAACCAGGGGATGGGACCCGGGCCCACCTCGAAGAACGCCACGAACCCAAAGATGGCCAGCATGCTGATGTAGCTCATCCAGGGCACACGGTCCTGCCAGAGGGATACAGGGTCAGCGGGTGAGCCTATTCCAGTTATCGGTTCAGAGACCCTGGTTCTGGAGAGTCATAGCCCATCAGGCCTGAGAGGTCACCCATAGATCATGAATTCGTTAAGACTAGACTGTAAGTGAGAGAGCGGCTTAGTAAGTGCATTAGTTCAGTTAAGTCAGGGATGGCCTGCTGTGGTCGTGGGTGTTGCCATTTTCTTTTTAAATGCCTTCATTTAACGACATTCAAGTCAACTTAGTTGTAGAAATTACCTGCTTATGTGGTCAAAACATTCCAGGGTGACCCAGTGAATCTGCTGGATTGTGGCTCTCCAGGACCAGGTTTGGACATTGGTGCAGTATTGAGTTAAAAGGAAAAGGTCCATATAAATACTCACATATTGACCATCATCTGGTGCTGAAGAGCCACAAATCTAATGGGTCTGTAATCTGAGATGTTCCTACTGATAAATGCCAGGGGTATTAAGCAGCTAATGTTGGTGTACGCAGTTAAGTCATTTTCAGCACAATAAATCAAAGTGAAATGAAAATCATTAGACCATACGCTCCAGGATCACTGTTGGTATGCAACATCAGCATACAGTATAAAGACATGGTGACAGGAAGGGTAATTTAGGTTTATCATAGTTTTCACACTCCTAAGAAAAGGGTAGGAGGCACAACACTGTATTTCACACAACGCCTTTAAATACTTACAGTAGGTTGAACTCAATAAGCCACACTGCTTTATTTTTTTATATCTGTACTGTTTTAAAACACATTGTTATTGCTTTTGGTTTTGATTTTGGCTGTGTTCAAAGTACCCATAAACTTCTGAGACAGGCGAGGAAGTGGCCCGGCCTGAAGCAGGAGACACGACCAGTATAACACAGGCTTAGGACTGGAACTAACCAATAGGGCGAGTGCAGCTGTCATGATGATGGCACACACCGCCATGCCAGCCAACCCCAGCATGTGCAGTGTCCGGCGTCCCGTCCTCTCCACCAGGAACAGCTGTGATTAAAGGAGGACAAGAGAGAAAGCAGGGCAAAGCTGGAACACGGCTGGCAATCCCACTCCAAGATTAATCCACTGGCGGCCTTCCCAATTTTATTCCACTTTGGTACTTTGATGCGTGCAGCCCCTTAAGCATTCTATTGAACCTGAATATTCTCAATGAAATAAGGTAGCAAAATTCGGCAATGGAGCACATTGGGAAGGCAGTGGTCATGCCCGAGTGTGCACCGGTGATCGGTCCTGCATACACACGCAGGACAGCACCTCACCTGTTAGAACAGGCTCAGGCAGACTCTCACAGCGGCTGGTTAATTAATCTATTATTTCTTTATTATTTCATTAATTAGTTCCATTTCCCTTCAACGTTTCCCTCGCCCTTCACTCGGGGCTCTGTCATTAGCTGCTCTGCGTGTGCGTGCGTGCGTGTGTGCGTGCACTACCTCTTAGTTTCTTAACCACAGTTTTCTTTTTCTCAATTTCTGGCGCTTGCTCCCTTCTGTCAGCGCTTTCCCTGTTCCCTGTCTCTACCACTCTGCAGCCCTGGGTGTTGGGTGTATATTGCGTGCCTTGCTCTTCTTTTTTTGGCCACCTTTTTGTTGGGGGGTGTTTCACACCTCACTGCTGCCTGAGACCCTCTGGGTCAGACACGAGTCACCCTACTCTTGCACAGAGGAGCCGTGGCACAGGGGAAAATTAAATCGGATGTATCAAAACCAGGAGTGCATCCAATCACATCTGTGCGCACGGTCTGACACAGAACCTCCCACAGGCAAATGCAGCCCAGGAGTGGAGGCACTGTGAGGCAATGGCAATATATTTTATGTACACACATGCATACTGGCATTGATAACTCTCCTTACAGGAGCAACTGATAGTGGCATCAAGTTGAATCTATCTTATTCAACATTTGCATTGTGACAGAATGTGGGGGCAGAGTTATAAGTGGAAAATATGTAGACCAAGAGTTCTGAGAACTATAATCCTTTCTTCTGAATTGTGTAGCTTCCTCTGTCTGGTTCTAATGCGAAAACCACATTATAAAAAGAGAACACTGATTAGCGGAATCATTAGGCTCAGCTGTCAACAATTGGCTTGTTTCATGACCCATAAAACAGTGCGGCATGCTCAGACCACAGCCTTCTATCTTTTTGTCTGGGAAAGACCTGATTCCTTGGGATCTGCTGCTGAAGTACGTTTGACTTTATTTCTGCTACTTTTGAACTGGACTCGAAAGATCCCCCGCTATACGAGGTGAATACCTGGAGAACAGGTAATGCACAACTGCACGGCCCGGGCCAGTAGTGAAGTAGCACCCCCAAACTGTCGCTATAGAGCTATGCAAACTTCATCTCTAACTGGTAGCCCTCGCCGCTGCCAGCCAGAGGGGCAGTCTTACCGACACCACAGTGAAGGCACAGTTGACGACACCGGCTCCGATAGTGGCGTAGACCGGACTCTCCACGCCTGCCTTCTCGAAGATGCTGGTGGAGTAGTAGAAGATCTGCAGAGGAGCACAGGAGGCATGATTTTCCAGAGGCTGCATGCTCGTGTGGTGTGAGGTACGGGGGTGAGGCGCCGATGGGGGGGACACTCACAGCGTTGACCCCGGAGAGCTGCTGGGACAGCTGCAGCAGGATGGCGATGCCGATGGGTTGCCGGTACAGTGGGGAGCGGAACAGCTCCGCAATGGACACCTTCCTCTCCATCTCCATCCTCCTCTTCTCCTCCTTCATCTCCGCCAGGTCCTCGTCCACCTCCAGGCGCCCCGTCAGCCTGCGCAGGCCTGACGCATATGCACATCGTCATGGTTACAGATGCAAGCGCCACAGGACTCCCTGATGACATTCTCATCATCACACAGTGTGTGAGGCAGACAGTAGTTAAACCAGGTAACGTTTGTGTGTGTGCAGTGGCGGTGTGCTGTGCTGCAGTCTGGGCTCTGTGTGTCTGTGCAGTGGCGGTGTGCTATGGTGCAGTCTGAGCTCTGTGTGTTTGTGCAGTGGCAGTGTGCTGTGCTGCAGTCTGGGCTCTGAGTGTTTGTGCAGTGGCGGTGTGCTGTGATGCAGTCTGAGCTGTGTGTGCATGTGTGCGTGTGTGTGCATGCATTGTATGCTCTGACCGCTCTTGGCATGGTGCTCCTGGCAGCGGATAATGTAGAGGTAGCGAGGGCTCTCGGGGCAAAAGGGCAGCAGCGCCATCTGCAGGACAGTGGGCAGCACAGTCAACCCCAGCAGCACAGGCCACAGCTCCTCTGTTCCCAGGAGAGACTCCAGTCCCAGGATCTGCACAGTGACAGGGGGTGCTGGAGTGAGCTCCTGCAGACACCTCACAGACCTGGTAAGCAGTGCTTCTACACATTCTCATAAACGGTTGTAAATAGCTAAATTAAGAGCATTTAACCACTGCTTAAGAACCAATAATTCCATATGGATCATTAAAATGAATTAATAACGGAACCTTTTTGAGCTGGTATTCTGTGCTGTGGTAATCTGTGCTTTTGAACATTTATAACTCCTTACTTGACCAGCTAGTAGATATGCATAAAGCATTGATGAACCATGTGGATGCCATTCTTAAAGGCAATCAATATGTTACAATTAAATCAGGTTATTTTGCAAGAAACCAATTTGACAGGATCAAATGGGCCGTCAATGTAAAACAAACATTTCCGGGGAGACGGGGGGGCCACATAGCATTCAAAACCTGGGGAAAAGAGTCGGGATTCTGCAGCCGGGAGTTCTGAAACCCCCATGCTCTCCTCCATCCCAGTATCCTGGTATCCCACCTGCGCCAGCAGGATGCCGATGACAATGGCCAGCTGGTGCAGGGTGCCCAGCGCCCCTCGCAGGCTGGTTGGGGAAATCTCACCCACGTACATCGGCACCAGCCCCGACGCCAATCCTGGGAGCACATCGGGCAGGCGGAGAAAGAGAGTTAGCAAAAGACAGATTTGTTTGAAATCCATCACTCTAAAAAAGCCACTCATCAAAACAACAGTTGGAAGTTTCATTGGAAGTTTCATTTCACACCTCTCTGCACCCATTCTGACTTCACACCTCTTGATTGGCCTCTCTTTCTGTCCCCTGCTCCCACCTCTCACTCCTCCTCCCTCCCAACCTTTGTTCTCCCGCTACTTTACCTTTGCCTACTGCCCTGTCTCTCTCACTTCCTGTATTATATACAGGAGCTTATTTTAACATGAGGCAGCTTCAACTGCATTGTATGGATCTATGCAATGGAATTGATTTTTCTTCAGTTTTGAAGAATTAATCTTTTTTGATTCAGCTAAGAGTGTAATGGCAAGGGTAGCCCTGCAAGGAGCGCTCTTGCATCACAGTCTGAGAAACTATCTCCTTGTCCAGAAGATGCACAGCCCTGCATATTTCATAGGGAACCAAAATCACTTTCTGTTCTTCCACCCTTTATCAGAAAGGCACATATTCTTGGTAAGCCTATGCTACCCTCCAGGACAGAACCTTAAAGGTCAGTTTGCAGACAGGGGGACAGGCAACCTGGAAGTGGGCTAGACTTACCTGAATAGGCACCAATGAAAAAGCGGCCCAGGATCATCATCTCGAATGATTGGCAGAGCTTGGACATGCCCATCATTCCTCCACCAATGAAGGCCAGGAGGTTGTTGATAAGCATGGCCTTCCTCCTGAATGATCAGATTACAATTACAGAAGTCTAAAAAAATTACATATCGCTATTATGAATTTCTTAAATTTCACTGCACTGGGCTTGCTGCTTTCTTAAAAAAAACTTGAATTCTCTTGACGATACATACATCCTTTTGGTCTTGTTGTACTGGGCTGGCTTACGCCTATGCCTTCTGCTTGTAGTGTTACCTGCTTCAAATCTTGACAATATAGGATTTACAAGGGAAGTAACATACAGGCAAAAGGGGAAGATAGAGTAGGACTGAAGGAATGTTTTGCAGGGATCTTCAATAATTCTTCATTCTAATTAGTTCAGTAGCTAAGGCTACTGTTTGAACCCTTTCCAACAAGCGTAGTGTTTTCCTATTTAATGTAACACCCCTGTTATTGGTAAGCTTGATGATGTTGGCCCTTTTGTCAGCAGTAGCAGAATATCGCCGCTAGATGGAAGCAGCGTCACAGGAAAGCTCAATGGGAGTAAAGCACGGCAAGTTCACCGCACGTGATCAGTAAGTGCAAATGTTCTTCATATGCAAAGGTGTAAATGCTTAATTTACACATGAATTTCTTGCATTTTTCCTCTTTCTGTGTGATAATTTCCTCAGCTATTACAGTAGGGGAGGTGCTAGATCACTGAATAATTTCGCTTTCATACCTTTGCTTTTATATTTCTCTTACAGTCAGCATTGATAAATTGGCATTCATTCTGAATTCTTATTATTATCTTCGTTTCTAGCATGGTATAATCATTTTGTTGCCTTTCACTGGCATTTACCAATCATGGCCTCGTAATAATCCCCCTCTCTGAACTGGCTTCATCACTCTGCTCTCCTCCCCACTGAGAGCTGGTGTGTGGGGAGAGTACTGGCGCACTATGGCTATATAACTGTAAAGAATTATTATTAATAATAATACTATTGCGCATCATCTTCGAATATGATATTAGTAATGAAGAGGGCTTTTTATATATACTAATTGCCATATTCTTTCATACTGTATCTGAAGGGGCCAAAGGCATTTGGTTTTGGACTCTCTCCCAGTGTGTCCAGTTTGACCTCTACAGAACAGAGGCTAGTAAACAGCCACAGCACGGGGGTCAGTGGGAAGCCCCCTGTCCTGTCCGACGACACAGAGGGGGCGGGCGTGGCTCACCTGCCCAGCCACTCGGACACGACGCCCACGGAGAAGGACGACATCATGCCCCCGATGGAGAAGATGGCCACCGACAGGGACCAGAGCGTGGTGAGCGTGCCGTGAGGGATGGGCGCAGCATAGCGGTGCAGCCATGTGGCGTTGTACTCCTGCTCGATAATCTGAGAGATGGAAACACGGGGCTCACAGACAGAACCTCTGCGATTTCTAGTCCGCTGTGCCGGACGTGGACAGTGCCTACAGACACCCTTTCCAAAGTGACGTGGGCTGGGGCCCTGATCAAGACCCGTGGGATCAGAATTTCTGTTCCTTTTATTCACCCAAATGTAAGACAGAGCCTCCAAGTCAAACCCACAGCTTCATCCCAGAGGTGTCTGAACAGCTTCCTGTTGCCCAGAGCCGAATCTTCACCCGAGATGAGCTATCTAGCAGAGCAGGGCTGCAGGAGCAGCTGATTTTCATTCTAAAATCGTCTGACTCTCTAGAGAGAGCAGAGTAGTATTTTGTTGCCATGCGTACACGTACATTCGAGTTGTTAATTGCGCCGATCTCTCGGGACACACACAGACAACACCACACAATGTAGACATTCCAAACATTATTAATAATAACAAAAGGAACAATAAATAGTCATTGTGGGAGAATAAATGTTGGGGGCGGTGTGGTGTCTCTGTGGCTAAGGATCTGCAGCTGTGGCTGGAAGGTTGCCGGTTCGAATCCCGTGGCCGGCAGAGGAATCCTACTCCACTGGGCCCCTGAGCAAGGCCCTTAACCCCAGCTGCTCCAGGGGTGCTGTATAAATGGCTGACCCTGCGCTCTGAGCCCAAGCTTCTCTCCCTGTCTGTGTGTCTCATGGAGAGCAAGCTGGGGTCTGCGAAAAGACAAATTCCTAATACAAGAAATGGCCAATAAAGTGATCTGATCTTAATTATGTAGTAGTGAGGAAAAAAAACCATGGTAGACCATGCAAAAAGCGTATAGTGCAGATATATGAGTCTGAGGCACTGTAGTTAGCTGTTAAGGATGAGTACTGCAGTGGGATAGAAGCTACAGTTGAACACACTACACCATACACAACAGCTGAACACAGGCGGAGGCTGATTAGTTTGCTGTGTGATGTGTAAGGCAATTGGGGTACATAAGAGCTAATATACAATTGCTCTCACCCAAGGGGTGATGCACTTATCCAGACCATTTCTCTAGGTGTGCACTGGGCTGGGTCCTGTGCCGGGGTGGGCAATGGGCAGCAGCTCTTGCTCAGAGGTCTCAGATACCCTTTGATCACACTTGATTGCTTTAGTTTGTAGACGTTGCTCTTTTAGGGGGGACTGCACTCCGCCAACCACAGAAACTCTGACAGCTCCCCCGTCTTACCGCAAAAAAGTGTCGGACTTCCCCTCCCCCCTTTCCTGTTTTGCTTTGCTGTATTTTGCGGTTCTGAAAGGCGTTATTCAGGAAATGTTCAGGGTTTCGCTCAGAAGTGCTGTGCAGGTGACGGTGGTAGAGGAGTGATAGGCCATCAGCGCTGTCAGACAGACTTCACTCTCTTGGGATTCTCCTGCTGTAAAGTGCAGGACTGTTCCCCAGTCACTCCAGAGTGGTCTGGTGAAGCTTGGGCACGTAGCAGTACAGAGACAGGAGCTCTGGGCTAGAATAAAGATTGTCTGCATATATCCCAGCAGTGTTCCACCCTGGTCCCTGGTCTTCTCTGTACCCCAAATTCTCTCCTTGCTATAGATTGGGAACACTATACACTTTATATACTGTGGATCAATAGGCAAGTAATTTGTTCAATTAATGAAATTACAGTACTTGAGGACCAAAGGGTATACTGATTTGTGTTTGGTATACAGTCTCTAAATTACTTAATTAAACAAAATCCTTGTTTAATTGTGTACAGCTACACTGCTCCAGGATTTGGCGACTTCTGCTCTCCAGCATCAAGGAAGACCCCCATCCCTGTGCTACCATACAGGGATTTAAAAACATCCCCCCTTGAATTACAAGACACCACGTGGCAAAGGGTGTAAGTAACTTGGCTTTTTAGTCTGACTCGTGATTTGAAAGAAGGATTTTTTTTCAACAGAAGAGGAATCTGCAAATTAAGGTAGGGTCCAGAAAATCCTTTGGGAGATGTTTTTGACACTTTTTTTGCACCAAACAAGAAGAAATGTCGAAACAGAGGGTGCGCAGGGTGCCTAGGCTACAAAACTGGGTTCCCAGCTGCCCTCATCACTCACACAGACTGCCCTTTGAGCACCGGTTGGAGTCTATGCTCCTGCAGGTGGGGTTTCCCCAGTGGAAACCAATTGTTGAGGCTGGGTTCGACTGGGCCAGGGTGTCCTTTTGCTTCCTTCACAAGAGTGCCCCCTTGTGGATGCCAGACACATCAGCTCGTCATTCCATGCAAAATCCTCTCCAGGCACAGAGGGGATCGCGGTGTGAAAAATGTGAACGACCTGGGAGTACATGTTTCAGAGGAACAGTGCGACCACACAGACTAGAATTAGCTTCTGCAGTGACGGTCTTTGGTGTTTTCTGCTATCTTAGGCCCAGAGCCTTTTCAGCCCCACTTCATACAGCTCCTGTACTGGGGGTGCAGAGAGGGGGGCAGGAGTCTCTGAAAAAGTGATACCAGGCCTTGTGATTCATCTGTAACCCAGCCGACCCCGTCGAACTCCACCGAAAATAATCCCCGTCTCCCATGAGAGAAACCCTGAGCACCTCTGCCCCCTCCTCCCCTCCGGCCACTCAGCTGATCCAGAAACCTGAGCTGGAGGCGATATGGAAGGGGGATGGGCCCACGGGGTATTTTTGGCTGCTCTGTGTTTCCGAGCATCATTCCCACCCTCCCGCTCCCTCCCTCTCTCTCTCTGTTGACATTCTTCCGCCCCTCTTTCAGGAGCACCACTCCTCTGCCTCTGCCTCTCCCGCTGGCCGGCTTCGCTCGCTCGAGGATTCGTGTTCATTCCTCCACCCGGGACACAAGAGATCCGTGTGCTTCAATCCCGTCGTGCGCTGTGTTTTTGAGATGAGGCGCTGCTCGGACCCGTTATGACTCTGAACCGCTTCCATGGCAACCAAAACAGAACATGATGTTCCAAACAAGGTCCTCCATGCTCCACATAATCTTTATCCTTTTGTGTCTTCTTTTCTCTTGCTGTAGGTGTCTGAAACCACCGGCATTTTTACACGTCATCTTCAAATTTGATAAGTGGACCAGGCGGTGGAGGCACCCAAGCTGTCTTCTGGCTCTCATTCCTGCTCGGCTCTTAAGGATCTCGATCGGCTCGCCCCGGTTCTTCAGCAGCTGGTGCTTTAAAGGGAAACTGCAGTCCCAATTTCTCAGACCAGTTCTTAAATCTCAGTAACAAAATAAATTCATTGACGGTATAGAAGTACAAAATGAAGTACAAAATTGTGAACTTTGTGAGAGTACCGTATGGTCGCCATGTTGTCGCAAACCCCTGGTCTCGCCATGGGGAGAGAGGCGAGAGTTCCAGTGAATTGCGACGTGATGCAGCCCTTCCTGCTCACTAGTCCCTGTAATGACTAATGTACTGCGCATAAGTACAGGTTGTGCAGCAGACATTTCACCGCAGAAATGTTCCAACGTGATCTTCATGCAGAGTTAACAAGCACGTTCCATTTATTGGCAAAACCATCTTAAAATCAAAAGCAGTATTGCTATTGTATTAATAGACATGTGTTCCCAAGCATGCTTGCTTACAATGTAATAAGGATGCAACACGTCACCGGAGGTTTTGTTGCCTCGTTCTGAGTTGCATTCCTGAAATATAGTCTATCTTGTGATGTGAATTGGAGGTTTTACAAGATGCTGTGTACATTTGACTTTTATTGTGGTTTGTGGGCCACCAGCCTCTGTTTATGCTTTCCTTGACCACACGTAGCAACATGGTGTCCCAGGCCCTGGGCATGCTGGATTCTGACTTGGGCCCGCAGAAACCGGCTAACATTTTCTTTCCCTGCACAACGCCAGTTTTAAATAGCCTGACCTCGGAGCGACTGCCCCTCCCCCAGCCCATCCAAGCCCCCAGAAGGGCAGAATTAGCTGAGCCACTGTCCTCTGTTGAACTCTGTTGTCCTCTGATGTAGTTGCCCATGAAACAGGCAGATCCCCTTTTAGAAAAGCTGGCAGCAGCATTCCACACTAAAAACAATGAAATAACACCTGAAACCTACTCTTGAGAGTAAGCTGTGCCAGGAGAGCAAATTTAGTGGTAAAGATATCCCCCATCATGCATTCTATTCATTGGGCATGCAAGATATTTAAGGACCAGTTGCTCGTGTAGGTGCCCTGTGTCTCACAGGTGCTCATTTTGTTCTGCGTAAGCTGCATTTGTGTGCTGAAGGCTACCTTCTGGGGTGCATTGATGACTCCGATGTTGTAGCCGAACTGCAGGGATCCCAGCACCGCTGTGAACACGGACAAGATGAGGGTTCCAGTCACTCTCTGCAGTGAGAGACAGAGCACAGAAACATCTCAGTCTGATAAAACACCACCACGAACAGGCTGTCCCTGTGACCTAGCTGAGCTGACTCCAACCCCTGGAGCTGCTTTTATAGGACTATTGCATTTTCCCTTGATTAATGCAATTATCTAATTGGGAGCTAACCTGAATGAGAACTAGGAGGTTTTTGGGACAGGCCTAGTCTGGGAGGTCCAAGCTGATACTAACCCCTCTTTTTCCCCAGTGCAACAGCTCTCACCACGAGCCCACACTGCCTCCCTCTCTCCCAGTTCCTCAGCTCTAACACCAGCCCACACTGCATCACTCACTCCCAGTGCCTCTCAATCTCTCCCTCAGTCTCTCTGGCCTGAGCCAGTGAAATCAAAGACAGCCCATTACACTTTCAGAGACAAAGGTCCCACAGCCAGTTTAGCCCCCAGAAGAGGAGGTGTGTTGGGCTCCTGCCCTTTTCCTAATCTGAGTTATTTATATCCCTGACTTCATCCCGAAAGACTTGCTTCTAGCACGCCCGCGCTTTACAGATAGTGACTGGCAGGTTGTAAAGATCAGCCTCAATGGTCAAGCACCCACCTGTCTCTTTACTGAGAGACAGGCCTGTAAGGAAGGCCCCCAGGGGCATCTGCCACTGCCCTGAGCCGAAAGACGATATACTGGAGGATGGAGGCTCTACTTTCCACAAAGAGATGTGGTTGGTGGTAACAATCTGTTCAACAGTGCGAGATGAAAGCCTCTTCATTAGTAACATCATTAAAGGTCTTTACAAGACAATGTTCTCAGCTGGCATTCATAGTGATTAGAAATGTGCTTTAGTCATGCCTGGAAACGCAGCAGTGAATTCAGTCTTCAATCAGTGGTTGTGGTTTTCTGTCCCTAGAGCAGGGTTATGCATTCCTGGTCCTGGAGGCCTGATGTATCTGCAGGTTTTCTAGGTATCTTCAAAGCAGCAGCACCTGAAGAGTTGGAATAGGCTGTTAAATTGCACCTTTTAAGCCAGGAATGAGCTGATTGAGTTTGTTAAGATAGAGTTGGAATAAAAACCTGCACAGGCACTGGCCCTCCTGGACCTCGACTGCCTTCCCCTTGTTTTAGATCATCACCCTCAAAGCTCATTTTGTTGCTGGTAGCTTTTATTGAACCGAGGATCTGATTGAGCCTTTTCTGGAAGTTTCCTGACAATCCGCGATGATAACGTGGCTGTTTGCGCCTCACCCCCATAACCCTGAGTGGGAAGAAATGAAAGAGATTCCTTTGCAGACCTCTTACCCAGGCTGTAACGTTTCAGACAACTTGCAGTCTTTTTGCCTTGGTGGAACAATGTAGGAGTGCCAGAGAGTTCTGTGTTGTTCTCTTTGGGAGATTTCCCATGTTCTGATCCCAGAGCAGCTGACAAGTGTGTTATGTCCATCCCTATGGAGAGCACTCTCACACACGCACCCTGCTCTTCAAAGCCTACTTCCGTCTCAGGGGCAGTTAAGCAAGCGAGCAGGTGCTGTGGGAACCTGTCAGTTATCGGTGGAGCTCAGGGGAACTGTGTGTTCCTCCCAGTCCGTGTCTCTGCTAGCCTGGGTCAGGGCGCTTTGAAATCACGGGACAAAACAAAAGCCGGTGAATCAGAGCAGCGCACGAGCCCCCAGAGCACACTCGATCTGTCTTGACCTTTCTGGAGAATTAACAAGGGCCGTGTGACCTTTCTGTGGCTAGCTATATAAAGGGCTGCCGGATCGCATTTCAGCATAACGTTAATAATAATGGCACGCGTCAGGTTTCAAGCTGCTGGGCCTGTGTGGCTGGGCAGCTTGTTCCCAACCCCCGCAGCCCTTCATGTAAAGAGATGCCCACTCTTCTTGATTTTCAAACATAACTTTACAATCTTTCTATTCAGTTCCTACTGCTGGTGTTTTGGTCTTGACTCTGAAGAAGTCCACGGGATCAACTGTGTTAGTGCCTTTGCACTTTTTGAATAATTTCCTCCTCAGTCTTCAGGACTCAAAACGTTCTCTCCCTGTAGCCCTTAGGAGGAGGGTATTCTCTGGCTGCGTCTCTGGACTGATCAGAGTAAATCTATTTTCTGTCAGGTGGTGACCAAAATTGTGCCCAGTATACTTAATGAGGTCTTACTAGTGCACTTGTTTGAGAGACAAACCAGGTCTTAAAACTTCTGGCTTTGTGATAGTTTCACTTAATTTTTGTCTCTGACATTTTTTTTCTTTAAAGCTCCCTGTTACATTCTGTTGGTTGGTCAACAATGACCAGCAACTGCAAGCAATGTCCTGCCACACCTGCTTACTGGTGAATAATAATGTCTTTCTGGTAGCTCTTTACAGGTAATGGGGACTCCCCTCCACCACCAGTGTGCAGCCCCACCTGGATAGATGTGACGGCAGCCATAGTGCACCAGTACTCTCCCCCCACACCAGCTGTCAGTGGGGAGGAGAGCAGAGTGATGAAGCCAGTTCAGAGAATGGGATTATTAGGAGGCCATGATTGGTAAACGCCAGGGAGAAATTAAGCCAAGACACTGGGGTAATTCCACTTCATTGGCATGTAGACTTTAGTTTAAAATCGGAATCTTTTCCCATATTGGGGGTCCTGACTTCAGCATTCCAGATTCACCGTAGAGCCCCATCATTGGTAAAGGCCAATTTCTGTTTGGCCAGGGCACTGGGGTAACACCCCTACTCTTTCTGAGAAATGTCCTGGGATTTTTAATGACCACAGAGAGTCAGGACCTCAGTTTAACAAAGGCTTTTTACAGTATAGTGTCCTCATCACTATACTGGGGCATTAGAACCCACACAGACCGCAGGGTGAGCGCCCCCCTACTGGTCCCACTAACACCTCTCCCAGCAGCAACCTCAGTTTTTCCCAGGAGGCCTCCCCTCCAGGTACTGGCCAGGCTCACACCTGCTGAGCTTCAGGTGCAGGGTGATATAGCGACTGGCAAGTCTTGGGATATGGGAGGAGATCCTGGCTAATGTCTTCAAGCAGGGCCAACAGCACACGGTCAGGAACAGTGCCAGTCGCAGCTGTGCGTCACCTGACACGTATTGAAAGAGGTCGATATTTGTCGGTGACCCGCAATCAGTAGAGTGACTTACGGTCACGCCGGCTGCCACCGAAAGGCGACAACATATTTGCTTCAATACGCCTGTAACTGATGCCACTTCACCGACACTGAGATTAAAAAAACAACGAGAAATTCAACTTCTTGTCACACCTATAGACAGATGATGCGCTCCGGAGATACATTAAAATGTAATGTCTCTAACGGAGGGGTAAAAGTTTTTTTTTTTTCCAAATCAGCAACTATGACGTCGCATAAAAGGGCATGTACAGGTCCAAAGACGTGAAAGTTGCCCAATGACAAGTAACGCCGAGAGGACGAGGCACTGAGCCTTGGTAAGCGAATATATCTCTGTCGGCTATCAGCTATCGGTGGAGCTCGGCCACAAGTTTTTCGATCACACCACTTTCAACAGCCGAGTGTTCAAATGCCTTTGATAACCGGGAGATAAGGCAGAGGTGTGAGTGGAGACGGACAGGGAATATACATATTGTAACATAACGTCTGTATCTCGAAACGCTCGAATTCTATCCCAGCATTTCGACCCTTGTATATGACGTTGCGCCTCGACCAAGCCGGCACACGCGTTATCAGGTGCTGTAATCTAGACAAAGTGGTGTTTGGTTTCTGAGATTACATAGGTCGAGTTACCTCGGCAAGAGAGAGGGAGAGAAACATACGAGGCACCAGATCGTGCGCCTTCTCTTTTTAAAAGTTCAGATTTTCTTTACAGAAAGGGTGTTTGGGGCGGTTGTGTGAACCGCTGATTTCAATTTTAACAAAAAACTGTCCGAATTTATGCCTCCGTATGGAGAAAAACTCATTTTGTTCTGACAAAACATTATTTTTTTCTCCTCCAGTAATATTTCGCATAACATACAAAGAATGGCAATTTTATTGATCTTCCTCAAAAAAAGACATTAGTTCCACCGACACATTCACCTCAAAGACAAATGCATAAGAAAGGGGATTTCGTTTGCCAATACAATGGAAAAGAACAGAAATGATGCCTTTCCTATCCAGAGTGGTGCCTGTTTCAAAGACGGAATTTCGTACAGCACAGTGTTATTTATTTACTACTGTTAGTAATATTTATTCCTGATACAGATGTGTGAAACCGCCTGTTCTGCCTTGTTTGCAGACCCAGATTAATTCTGTGCCTCAGCTCCCCCGCTGAGTTTGCGGACAGCCGCAACCTGCGCAGCTCGGACCGGTTTGATCTGAGTTCTCCCCGGCGTTTCCGTCCCAAGAACAAGACCGACGCGAGAACTATTTGGGAGCGGGGTAAAACGGTCCTTTTATTTTTCACACGTTTTGCTTCCTATAGTTTCCCGTATTTTCAGAAGTCCTAAGTTATATATTTCTTACAGCATTTAGTATAATAATAATTATAATGACGCTTAATAATGATATATTTATTACAACACTTAATATAAAAGATGATGTAACTAGTAACCTCTGACAGTATAAATGATCATGATGAATTGAGACCACTGCCATGGTAGTACTGCTGGTACTGCGTTACTACTTATAATAACATCAATAATAACAACATAACTCACCTCTCCACCCAGCTTCTGAAACCCAGCCGGCATGTCCTTGAAGGAAAAAGGGACACCTGCCTCAAGATCTGCCTTGGAGATTAAAAAAATATTCCCAGGTGGGGTAAAGTGGAGAATATATATATATGGCTATATTCAACACGATTTTAAAACGAATTGATGTGAGCGCAAAATCCAAGCCCCGACGAGACTATTTAAGGAAAAGTGTTCTTCGGATTTCGCCGGCTCGACTCGGAGGCACAGCTTTCGTGTTTTGAAGTCTGTCGGACCGCAGTGTCGGCTGGCTGGCGGCTCCGCCGACCTCTCGGTGCAGTTAAGGGAAGGGTCGTTCCGGCCGATCTGGGAGAAGGAATGACCCGCACGCCCGGCCGTCTTTTTTGTTTTGGAGAGGGGGCGCAGGTGGGCTGTGTGCGAGGCGGGGCGGAGGGTGGAGACTGGGTGGGAGGGCCGGGGGCAAGACCGAGGCGCGGCGCGATCTCCGCAGGCCGCTCGCGCGAGACGGGGAGAGGAGGGGACAGTCCGTCGGTGCGATGATTGACGGGGAGGCCGAGAAGTTTGTCCAGAGCTTCGCCCGGAGAGGTGACCTGAGAAAACTTGACACACTCACGGCAGGAGCAAGCGACCGAGAACACAAATGAGAAAAAAAAGAGGTTTAAACGTATTCCGGGCTGTGACTGTTACTGCTCCCGCCAGTGCACGGTGACATCTCCGTGGCTCTTAACACATTGACGAAGCATGCAGAGAGCACCTATTCGTCAGAGCAGTTGTGCTCGTTTTCTTCTTTTTATTTATTAAACGCAGGGATCGGGTTACTTCAGGAATTAACTATGAATGCATAGCCTGACGTGTATCTTCCTCGGTCTAACAGCAGTGTTCGTGGTTAAGATGGTTGCGCCACCTGTTCCTTCTGAAGGTTCCGCGAGCGGTTGGGTGGGAAAGGCGCTATACGTGTGCAAACGCGTTGTGTCGCGCAGGGGCTGTCGACAGGTGGGGCGGCTCTTTAAACTCCAGCACGTCGTCAGCTGAGGCGGTGTGCGGTGTATACAGTAAACATCCCAGGGTTCAGTGGGTGTCAACAGCCAAATATTTGGGAAAACACGTCACCCAGAATGCATTTTCTCGCCGCCGTCCTTGACAACGCTGGAAAGCTCCTGGGGAGGTCGAGTAGGAGGAAGACGGGCACATTTGCATTCATGTCCACACAGACAAAGTGTTTGTTACCTGTGTGGGCGGGGGGTGGGGAGAATTTCATTGTTGCAGTTTTCGGTGCAGACCCCTTATCACACTGACCCGAATCCGGTTTGGGGTTTCCTCAGCGCTGCAGGAAAACCGCGACACAGAACGACACAGAGCTCGACAGGCTCCGACAGCTGTGTTCCAGCGGGGCTTTTACTCACCCGTGCGTGGACAGGTTTAAGGTTTAAATCAGAATGTCCCCAAGTATCCAACAACCTTAGTCTCAACTCTCATCCTCAGAATAATAGTGGGATCTTTTTTAACCCGACACCTACACTGAAAGTGACAAAGGGTGGTTATCGAACAATGTTTTGTACAATTACCATATGTTTTATTTAACAAATTGACTATTGTTATATATTGTATTTGTTACTGCAGTTACTTTGAAAAAAGCTGGACAAATACTAAAGCGAGTTTGTATTATGAGGCATGATGTGAGTAGGTATTAATAAAAGTATAAACAGTAAAAGTATTAGATACATTTTTTTTTTATTTTGCAGTAAGGGCTGAGTAAATAATCTCTTCTCGGGCCATTACACAAGAAGATGTTATCCTGTGCTACGATCTATTATTTAAAAATCATTTTTTATATAAAAAAAGGTTTATTAGACCCGTTAAAAGGTGGTGTTGATGTTTCAGGTAAAATAAAACAACGGAATAAAAGTGAATATAACGTTTCTATATAAAATAAATAAACAACTGGGGACTGTGGTTTAATCTATTAAGGTGAAGCTGAAACGTCCAGTCCCCAAAACGAGACGGTGCTCACTGTTCGTACGCGATGTTCATGTACAAAAAGCAAACGTTTGCCTGGGAACATGTGTCTGCTGACCTACAAGCTGCGAGTCACCGCTAGCGGCCCAGTCTTGAATCTGCGCACCCTCTCTCTCTCCCTCCGCTCCCGGATCCCACACCGGACAACTGCAGCTCTGAATGACAGGCCGTACTGAATGACAGGGGGGGGGTTACGTTTGCCAAAAGTGTAATGGAAACACTCTGCCTCGGGTGTCATCTGTTATCCCGAGCGGCGTGGCGCTGATTTGACGGGCTGAGAAAGACGTAACTCAACCCCCCGCTGGCGCGCTGTTACGTGCGCTCAGGGATGGCAGAGAGAGATACGATCTGAGAAAATTAAGATCGTACCCCCTGACAGCGCGCCCACCGCGAAAACGGCCTCTTCTTTGCGATCTGAAAGGGGCTTTTTGTTCTGGGTCTAGCACTCGAGTGAATTTTGGAATTGGGAAGAAAAGAAAAACCCAGAATGAGTGGAAAATGGAAAACTGCTCAAGAGTCACAATTTTTTCAGGATTTAAGGATGTTTTTATTTAAGAAGGTTAAATTCATAACGTGTTGAGGTAAATACGCCTGTGGAACTTCAATTTGACGAACTCTTCTGAGAGGGGATTTCTTCGTGTGACTGGGCGACGCTGTCACGGGGGCAGACCAGTGAGGTGACTCGGTGACGTAGCTTATCTCACAGTAGCCTTCCCATGAGCCCCTGGGGGGTTCAGCGGTCCGCCGCGGACTGCAGTCTGTGCGTGATAGTGTTCGCAGGAAAGTGATGCGTCAGGCTAGTGACTGAGAGGTCAGCCCGACAATCTGGACTCCAGTATGCAAGTCTGGTTTGAAAAGCTCTGACCATGGTCAGGAAAGGCACATGCTTCAAAAAGTGCATGTTGTTCCTTCATTTTACTACTAATAATACACTTATATAGCGCTTTTCTGGACATTCCACTCAAAGTGCTTTACAGGTAATGGGGACACCCCTCCACCACCACCAGTGTGCAGCCCCACCTGGATGATGCGACAGCAGCCATAGTGCGCCAGTATGCTCCCCACACACCAGCTCTCAGTGGGGAGGAGAACAGAGTGATGAAGCCAGTTCAGAAAGGGGGATTATTAGGAGGCCATGATTGGTAATGTCCGTGGAGAACTTTGGCCAGGATACCGGGGTATCACTCCTTCAGTGGCATGTAGACTTTAGTTTAAAATCTGGATCTTTTCCCGTATTGGGGGTTCTGACTTCAGCATTCCAGATTCATAGCTGAGCTATCTTAAACTGAAGGCTGACCGAAGAAAGTCGAAAAGTATTTGACTCAAGAAATCTCTACACGCGACACGTGGCCGAGACTCTTAGAGCGCAACACTAATTTGTTTACAAAATTTGTTTTAAGGGTGTTTTATATTTGTAACTGTTTTATTTTTGTAAATTTGTTCTATATTAATAAAGAAGAATGATATTTTTGAAGACGTTTATTTGTGGAAAACAATGCCTGTGTTACATTTTTCAAGATGTTTAGGTGCGTGTGCTCCATGCTTGTTTACTTTCGTGCGGCGCTCTTGTGCTCCACGTTGACTGGCTGCCAAAATGAGGCGTCGCGGTACTTTCGCGGCGTGATACCAGACTTGGAACCGCGATGAAAATTCGTCAGTCGTGTAATTAGTCACTCTCTGCGATTCCTCTAGGACAGCAAAGGCAGCGAGATTCAGCAACTGCAGTCGTTAAATTTGACATGCTCTCCGACTAGAAGTTGTGTCGCGTCCTGTAGTTGTGACAGAGAATAAGAAGGTGGGAGGCGTTTCTTTAACACGTCTGTGACAGTTACAGGTTGTCGCCCAAAAGAATACAACCAGGCCGCGATATAATCATCCTTAATCATTCGTTAGGCTTTTGCAGCTAGAGCATTTATCCTTGAGAATCTTAGCAATTTAGAAATCTGCCGACACTAAAGGCTACCGAAGGACTCAGTCGGTAAAGGGGCGCAGATTGAGCCCCGAGTTCTTTACCGGTCTGATCCTGGGATCTGTGATTAGCAGGACGATGAGCTGGGATGGACAGGAGCTCACCATGGCGTGCCCGGGCGTGTCGTAACTACAGCGGCTGTGCTCAGTGGGAGATGACCCATCGGTGCTAACTGTGCAATCGGCGCTGCGCGGAGATTAAACCTTCGGAAATCATCGTACCTCCTAATGACTGAGCCGAAGCCTGCATGTAACTGTCAGTAGCTGCTTTAAAAATGGCTGGTTCCAGCTGAGGAGGTGGAATCATTCTGTTCAAGTCTCCCGGTTACCTGTCTTCTTGTCTCAGCGCACGTTTTCTTCTTCACATTTCGTGTCAGGAGAGGGCTTCTGCAGCTACCGGCCTCACAGCGATGCCTTGACTGAAGCACGGCACGAGGTGGCCCCCCGGTGGTGGAACGTCGCTACTACCACCTCCTTCCCCCAGCACGCGGCACTGGAAGGTGACAGGTCAAACACCGGCCCTTTTTTGTTGTTGTTCCTGGCATTCTCAGAAAGAAAGGTGGGGTGCATTGTGTCGGTGTATAATGCTGGCCTCCTACGACATCCAGCTATTCTTTCGTTTTCAATAACCTCTTCGCCCAGTACAGGGCCTCAGCGAGCGAGAAATTAACCTGGCACACAATGGGAGCAAGGCAGGATACATCCTGGACAGGATGCCAGCTCCCTGTAAGGCCCATACACACATGAGCACAGGGCTGTGTTTGGATTTCAGTATCTGAATGATCTTGCTTTACCTGTCAATGCAGACAGAGGTGGATTAGAACCAAGACGATCAAAGAGACAGCTGTGGCACTGTGAACAGAGTCTCCTGCCATAAATACCACTGCTGGTGAGGCTGGTCTGGAGTTCACAACCGTGTTTCAATAAATTAGAACGGGAGAAAGAGTTTTCAGCTTTCACAACATGGTTGGGTTACTTGTTCCCCACACCCACAACTCTTTGTGTAATAAAAGGCACCTCCTGGCGTCAATATTAATTGCACTTTCCCCTTAATT